TTTCAGAACCGGAGGGCCAAGCTAAAACGGGACCTGGAGGAGATGAAGGCCGACGTGGAGTCGGCGAAGGCCATCGGCCAGGTCCCCTTGGACAAGCTCGCCAAGCTGGCGGACCTGGAGAAATGCGCCAATGGCACGCTGGGCCACCCGCGCGCCGATTCCCCTGCGCGGGGCGGCCAGCAGGAGCTCGAGCTCGCCCAGAAACTGCGGAACTCGCCGCTGTCTCCGTTCTCAGACCACACAACTAGTAAAGAGTGCTCAGAGGACGAGGACGTGGAGATTGATGTGGATGACTGATGGCGCAGCGTGGGGGCTGGAAGGTCGAGAAACACTAAAAAGACGATTTAAAAAAATCCTACCGAGGACTTGTAACTTACTGCTTATATTGTATACCATATCTCAGAACATGTACCAAAATGTAATGACTTTTATATCGGCACAGATAGACTATTCATAGTGAAGCATGAACACAGAACAAGAAATATGCAGTGGTATTTTACAATGTATTCATTAGCAAACTGTTACTTCTTGCAATCAAAGCAATATGGTCTAAAATGACATGAGTAACTTATTATTTTTTTACACTATAGGCCAACATACACACAGACACACACACTTACACTTAAACACACCAACACACACACCTGTTCCATCGCTTCTCCTACGGCCTACCCTCACACACACACACACACACACACACACACAATGAAAGTGCTCCAGTTTCTCATATGTTTTGCATGTAAATGCATGATTTGATTTGTGATCATTATCTATTTATTTTTACTTTATTTTTTTATTTAATTGTTTTTGTGTTTTTCTGTGAGCCAAATCGCCATCGAGTCACTTTGTCACTGCCGGCTCTTCCTCCTCCTCCTTCTCCTCCTCCTCCTACTCCTCTTCTTCTTCTTCATCATCTGACTGGACCCCCCCTTGACTTCAGTTCATATTTGGCGTCCCGATGCTGCAGTGCATGATGATGATGATGATGATGATGATGATGATGATGATCGGAAAAAGCAAACTCGGACATTCACAGTTATGCGTTTTATGGGAATGCTCACGCGACCGGCGAGGAACAAAAATGAATATTGCGGTGATTTTGACGAGCTGTAGGCTACTTTTTAGATTTATTGTTTGGATACAATAGATTTACAGTTATAAATTTGTTATGTTTTGTACACCTGTAAGTGCCTTTCTAAAATCAGGACATTATTTGAAAAACCAATGCACAGACTGTAATGTATATAGGCTACTATGGGAATAAAATGGCTTTTCTCAATTATTCTTTTATGTTGTAATTCTTGAATTAATTTTGAGAGGGGATTTTTTTTTATTATGGATATAATAGCCTTTATTTTCCTCTATAGCGAGGACAAAAATCATTTTAGAAACACGCTCTCCTTGCCAAATCTGGGCGTGTAAGCCTATCAAAAGCGGCCCATTTAGAGTTATTATACTCAACTATTTTGTCCCCTTTGTGTCCCTTTCTACTAGGATGCTCTAAACATTTTGTGGCCCGGATTCTCACATCTCCTTTCACACCCTAAATGCGTATCGTGGCTTCTTGACCCTTAGACGTGTTTCTCCATTCGTGGCAAAAATTTATGTGAGAAACACAAATCTGGTGCCGGGGGGAAAAAAAGGCGAGGATGCCACAAAAACACAAAGTTTTGGGCCAGTTTCTCCGGGCCTTTATAGACCTTTTTTGTTCTGCGGGACTGGGGCCGTAATTTTGAGCGTAAAGCATGAAAAGTGGGGACAAATGAGCAGCGTTCCCTGATGGGACGCGCCACAAAGGAGCAGGGCCGGTCCCCCGCAGGCAGCAATACTGAGACAAGTGTGTCCCACCGCACAAAAAGGACGCAAACGTTTGGAGGCCATATGGTTTTTGAAATTTCCTCACAATTTCAGACAATTTGATGGATTGAGTTAACCCTCCTTTTAAACAGTTTAACTGGGTGCGAACAAAGGCCATAATGCCTACATAGACTCTCCCTTCATGAGGGCATCTGCGGCTATTAATGTCTGGCCCTTTTCTTTGCCTGGCGTTTTGAACAAGTCAATGAATTACAATGAAACTGCCCCTTTTTTGTGAGCCGCTTGTCTCTCTCCGCTTTTTAGCTCTGAAATAATATGTTTGACTTCAGTCCAAGAGCGTTTTCTAAACAAGAAATGGATTTTGTTGCAAGTGTTTTTAATGTTAAGTAGGGAGCCATAAAGAGTTAGACTGTGACATTTATGCCAAAGTCTGGTTAGGGAGCCCTTTTGTTTGTTTTCTTCTCATCTCTTTTTTTCTCCTCCTCCTTCTTCTTCTTCTTCTGCCTCTTTTATTTCTTTTGTCTTTAAGGAGTTTAATGAAGCTGAAAACATGGTGATGTGAGAAAGAGAGACTGTCCAGAAGAGGAACTGAAAAGGCAAAAGGCAACCTCCCGTTTAACTCTCTTTGTTCAAAGAAATGATAAGTAGGCCTGTCTTCTTGTCACTTCTTTTATAGTGTTTGCCTTTTTTATTTATTTAAACTTTTTTTTTCTTTATTCAGGACAACCTGAATAAGTTTATAGACCTGTAAGCACTTAATATGACTGAAGCTATTGTAAATTCTCTGTAGGCAAATTAGCCCTACAGTAAAAATGTATAATTCAGTAACACATTTAGCATTTATAAGCACTTTATAACACATTATAATGCAGTTGTAAGCAGGTATGAGTGTTTAATAGCTTGATTATTTGTAAACAACTCCTGGTCCCATAATGGAGGCTGGTGGACAAACAAACAATGAGTGACAATATAGTAACACAGTTAAAATAATATAATGTTTTTAAAGAGAAGTTCTTTTTTTTTTTTTTTTTTTACAGATAAGCACTTAAAATGTCCTTAAATCTGCTTATAATTGCATAATATTGTGCTTCAAACTACTGTTAAATGTTTATGTGCAGCTTAAAAATGCTTAAGTGTTTCCTTTAATTTATAATTACTAAGGTTTATTAATTGAACGTAACCTTTGATTGTAAAGGTACCTCTAAAGAAAAATTCAGTTCAATTTTCAATCCAGTTTTGTAAATTGATTTACAGATATGGACATGCTGATTTAAAACTTATTCCCAAAAATTAATTCTTTTTAGGCGTATACACTCAGTGTGTGTGTGTGTGTGTGTGTGTGTCATCCACAGCCTATTCTGAATCAAGCATATTTATGAAGGGAGAGAGTGTTAAGGCAGGCTAAGTTTATGGATTTCACTTGCTTATTTTATGAGGACTTGTCAGGCGGGCCCGGCGATAAGTAATACTACAGTCTGTGGGACCACTTCGTGGTAATTAATCTGGAGGTCTTAAGTGTATTTCAGTATTTCACTTCAAGATGGAAAAAATCACTACTTCAATCGTCCGGAAAATTGAAGTTTGATGCATGAGTCCCTACTGAAACAATAGTACAGCCCTCTCTCTTTTCATCTCTCCCCCTCCCCTTTTTTATACTCTCCCTGTCTCTCTGTCTCTCTCCCTCCCTCTCTATTTTATTATTATTTGCACCTTGTGGAAAACAGTCTCAGGTGCAAAGCGTGAATTAATACTTGAGACACTGGTCGAGTGACAGCATTAAAGATGAGCTTTAAAATGAATTTATTACTCTGTTTCCAGCTTGTTTTCTCAGAAAAAGTAGAAAAACAATCAACGTATATTATTATTATTATTAGTAATATTATTATTATCATTATTATTATTGAATGAGTATGGAGAGGAGATCTGTAAATGACTTTATATTTGCCCGGATTGCCTGAATTGTGGAGTTTTAATCATAGCCTTCCTGTGGAGCCAGTTAATACTTCAAACTTCAATTTTACGGGCGATTGAACTAAGCATGTTCCTGACAGAATTGATGTATGTATTAATTTCCTTTAACTGTTGATTAATTAGGCTGCGCTGAAGGCTCAAATGGAACAGTTTGTTCGGAAATTTGCATATTAATCAAATTCTAGTTGATCATTCAAATAATCCAGGCTGTGTGATTTTGGGGGAAATCACTAAATATATATATATATGCACATGTATATTCTCTGCTGCTGCTGCTGCTGCTGCTGCTGTACATCCACTGTATTAAAATCAAACACTCGGAAGGAGCCAACCTCACCATTTGGACTGCTGCAACCAATGCTCTGATATATTAACATCATTTGAACCAAAAGACAGAAAACCTTTATGCTTCTTTATCTTATACAAAACCAGTGTGTGTCTGGGTGTGTGTGAGAGAAAGAGGGGAGGAATGGGGGATAAAGAGATGCATATATGCTACTGTATGTGACTGTGTTTTGAACATTTTTGTTGTGTTTCGAACATTTTTGTGCCTCTTAATTAAGAAAAAACAGGCAAGGAATTTCAGTTGATGAGAAAGTTAATCTGCCTCACTGCTACAGTCAGGTTCAGATCACAGGCGGGTGAAGTCTGTGGGATATAAACACTACAGATAGGCAGCTGAGTGATAAAAAAGGTGAGTTTATAGATGTTAAAACAGTTTCCAATTAGACATTGTGAGATGTCAGGCAGGTTAACATAAGGCCGCAGTATACCGTCTGCAGTTATACAACTACACTAATAACTGCGCAGACCATCGGGTCTAAAAAATCAAATTATTTTAAAGACATCAAATGATCCGGAAGTTTTTTTTGCATTGCTGATGATGAACACATCATCTTTTGCTGGTTAAAATAAATATGGTCCAAACTGCACCAGCATTATGATCTCAGTTGGCTATTTTTCAGCAAGAATGGAAATCAATAACGTAAAGAATATTCCCATACATTAAAAATAATCCTACAAGTCATGAGCAGCACATTAATATGATTTGGATTGGAAAGAATTATGGAGAATTAAAGAAATAAAGAAAGTAAAAAAAGCTATTATTAAGAGCTCAGGGGGTAAAATTACCAGATATAAGTGATTTCATAGCAGCACAGAGCAAAAATACCAAAATAAAGAGATGAATGAATAAATAAAGTGATATTAACCTGCGGTGTCCCTGATGGTACTGGAGTCGTCTGGAAGAACATCCACACCTGATGGATTCATTGAAATCATGTGTCAGAACAAAACATGCTGGTGATGAAAACTGCTAATGTTCAAACTGTGACTTTATATTCTGAAGTACATAAAAACAAACAAACAAACAGGAAGGAAGAGGAAAAGGAAAAAGGAAATGTAGATGTTGACCAGCTTCAAACTGAAGCAGAGAAGCAGAGACACCTGCTGGTGAGCTCAGTACAGTGTACTCCACTACAGTGAGCAGTTAACCAGCCATGGTGTGTGTGTGTGTGTGTGTGTGTGTGTGTGTGTGTGTGTGTGTGTGTGTGTTAATAAATGAAATGTATTTAAATAAAATGAATATTTAAATCTAACAAACACTGCAAGGTAATACTGAGTTGTTGTCTCAGCACATTTTGGGTTTTCACCTCTCTGCCTCTCTGAAAATTGCTTCATTTGCACAACCACAAATACATTAGGCAGGCTGTGCAAGATTCAGCCTACAATATAATAATAAAAGGGAATGGAATGTAAATATAAAAAACAAAAAGGAGTTTGCACATATGATAATGAAAGAAAAACAAAGATGAGATATTTAGCTATTGACTATAATGGTAATGGTGGAGATTATAGAAGAAACAGACAAAATCAAAATCATACAGAGGAGGCAGGTTCACTGGTTTTCCTTCAACCTTTGAGATGCACTAACAGATTTTACTGCGTCCATGGGAATGTCAGTTTTTCATCAAGAAAATCAGGAATTTTGTTTGTTTGTCTGAAAATCTTAGTTAAGTTTGATTACGATGAAAACTCTTAATGTAGGCTACAGTGCACTATAGATCTGTTTTCTATCTCCCTACCTGTAAAAGTCTCTCATGAGACTTATGGGAGATCCAATGACACTATGTTCAGAATGATATAGTTCTCTGGTGTCTGCATTACTGATCAACACATTTGGACCCGTAATGACACCTCCTGCAACTTCACTCGACCCTCACAAACTTCTTCTAACATTTACTGAAGACATATGCACTGTTTTACAGTCTGAGTGTAATGAATGAGAGACTCGGACAAAAAATAGCCTATGTGTAGCAACTATAGCAGTGGTGGAAACTGCATCACCTGAGATTTGATCTTTTGCTCAGCCCTATAAGTATAAGTGCATCAAGTTACTCCACAAGTTGAGAGTCAGGGATTCAAAAACTCATTTAAGTGAGAGTGCAAAAGTGTTATAACTAAAATATAGGCTATCCAAAGTAAAATGCTACAATAGGATTATTACTGTTACATCAACACTTTAACAGAATGCCGTATCTCATCACATTGATACTTTACTGTAAAACTTCAATTAGTAGCCCGGGCTATATTTGCCTAAATCACTGACATCAACAGGCCTACATTAGGGACAGGCGTCTATATGGGACAGGCCTTTAATTTCTCTCACACAAAACTGTTGCTCAGCAAAGATGGAAAATACAATCAAACTGTTGATTTAAAACCAGTATGAATATTACTTGTATAAAAATTAGGCTTCAGATAAAATATCAATTATGAATTATTTATTTGATCTAGCTCCAACAGACAGCACATCAGAGAGAGATTGAGTCATGGCATGCTAGGATTACAGCACCCTGCACACCACTTTATCCTGTTAAAACAATATTCACAACTTGGATTAATTTTTATGAAAACCCCTTTTGATTCTTTTGATCTTAGGACCCTAATAGACTAAAGGAATATGAATAACTTACAGGGTAATCAAGGAATGGACACATAATTTGAGGTAGCCAACAACCTGGTTTTACCAGGCCAGGCATCTAATTGAGACAGGCCTATTTGTCAAAATGTGTAGCCTCACCAGGCTAGTAAAAGGGACTGGGTGTTTAAGTGGGACTAGGCTTTTAAAATAAGTTTTACAGTATATGTTAGGAAGTTCACTTTACAGCAAAATATCATACTTTATACAATGACAAGCTGAGAAATCACCAGTACTGCAAAATCATACTTAAGTGGACCTTCTATTTATTTGTGTATTTATTTTACTTGTATTAGCCTACTTAAACCACCTGCAATTATGCTAGGCTTTGGTTTTGTTGGAAATAGTTTAACAATCAGCCACCCAGTGCTGAAGACTTGTGTCTTACTTGCTGCAGGGTTTTTCCATCTTCTTACAGATGCTTCATATTGTCTGCATTGTCACATTAATCCCCACAAGCAAAAGTTTTCTATTCACTTACCTTCTCCCCTCCGAGAATAAACTACTCTACATGACTGCAGCAGGTCTGACCGCCTCGCACATGCGCAGTCCTGCGCAGCGTCAGCTCTGTCGCAGACGTGACGTCATCAGTGTTGGCGGTATTTTGAAAAAGAAGCGTCTGTTGTTGTCCGCGTCCTGGATAAAAAAAGACTGGTATCTTCAAATTATGGTAAGACAACATGTCATCTGACTCAGCCTTGTAGTGCAGATGTACACAGTGATGTGAAGGGCGGTGTTTTCACAGCCATTACAGATAATATCGTCGCTGCTAGGCTAAACTAGCTAATGTCAACTTTTACTTCTCCACCACGAGCTACAACTAGCTAACAGCTACTAACACCTCACCCATTCACTGTGCCAACTTTGTCCGTGCTTTACTCGGTATTTAAAACCATACCAAAATCCAAGTCGACACCCCTTTGTCCTTTTCTGTCTCCGTATTCAGGGTGAGGTGAAGTCAGGCGGCCAGGCAGCAGCCGAGCTGTCAGAGGCTGCTCAGACTGAGCTGCTGGACCTGTGTGAGGATCAGTTTGCTCAGCTGGAAAAGGTAAACTCATGTTCACTCCTTTATAGCCAGTCACTGGGTGTGCAGAGAAGCTACAAACTGCAGACTGTGTCTCTCTGTGTTGCAGCTTCAGAATGAGATTATACTTTGTGAACCAGACTTTTGTGAGGATCCTCAAGAGCAGGTGAGATGACTTTACATGTTCATTCATTGATGTGCTTTTCAGTTTATACCGTAAAACTTAAATTAGTAGCGCGTCCTATTATTTGCTTAAATCACTGAACTCAACAGGCTTATATTTGGGACAGGCCAGGCTTTTAATTCTTTTGACACAAAACTGTTGCTAAGCAAAGATGTAAAATACAATCAAATTATTTATTTAAATCAGTATGAATATTACATGTGTAAAAATTAGGCTTTGAATAGCAGTTACAAATCATTCATTTGATCTAGCTCCAAGAGACAGTGCATCACAGTTATGACACTCTTTACAGCACTGGAGGATTACAGCACCCGGCATACCGACATACCACCACTTTATCATGTTAAAACAATACTCACAACTTGGATTATTTTCTACAAAAAACCCTTTTGATTCTTTTGATCGGTGGACCCTCACAGACCAAAGGAATATGAATAAATTACTGTGTAATCGAGGAAGAGACACATATTCTGACTTTATGACAGCTTCAGAGGAAGGGAGTCACCACTTGTTTTTTCTTTATGCTGGTAAATCTGAATGAATTATTACAGTCTTCTCTGGTGCTCATGGTTTCAGCATGAAATGAACTGAGCTAACAATGTGTAGCATTGTGTAGTATTTATTCTAGTGAAGTCTTGTCTTGCTTACAAGAGTTGGATATTGACCTGAAGCATACTGCAAAAGCAACCAAAGACATTTTTAAGGCAAAGAAGTGGAATGTTCTGCAATGGCCAAGTCATATCATCTGACCTGAATCCAATTGAGCATGCGTTTCTCTTGCTGAAGCCAAAATTGAGGGCAAAACACCCAAAACACAAGCAGGAAGTGCAGACGGCTACAGTAAAGGGCTGGCAGAGCATCACCAGGGAAGAAACCCAGCATCTGATGATGTCTATGTGTCCAACACTTCAGGCAGTCATTGACTGTAAAGGATTTGCAACCAAGTATTAAAACTGACTGTTTAATTGATGATTATGTTAGTTTGTCCAAATACTTATGAGCCCTTAAAGTTGGGGGACTGTGTGAAGAAATGGTTGTAATTCCTACACGGTTCATACTACATTTTTGAAAAAAGCCTTAAATGAAAGCTGAGAGTCTGCACTTTAAGCAGGTATTCATTGTTTCATTTAAAACCCATTGTGGTGGTGTACAGAGCCAAAATGACGACAACTGTATCATTGTCCAAATAATTATGGACCTGACTGTACATTCAAAGAACTTCTATAAAAATGAGCTGCCTAGCAACCAGATCAGGCGTCGTCTAATTGAGACAATCCTTTATTTGTCAAAGTGTAGCCACGGCGGGCTAGTAAAAGAGACTGGCCGTTTAATTGTTGTAGTTTTATGATATGCAGTATCTCTTCATGATACAACACGGAAGGCCTCAACAAGTAGTCGTCTCAAAAAAGTTTCTTTTTTTCTGTTTACAGTTTCTGAGGTATAATGGTTACACTGATTTTTGAAAAACACATTTGAACAAAATAATTTGAATGAATTGCTGTAAATCCCTAATATTATCTTCAAAACTTCATATTCATATCACACTTTATTATAAGGATAATGTACCTTAAATAGCTTTACAGAAGCAAGCTTAATTACCGATCCGTCTGACTTATCCACAATCAATTACACAACAAAATGACAGAGTACAGGGAGGGACAGATTACATAAGAACAGTTTGGACTGCAATAAATATAAAAAGCTCATCAAACCTGTTTTTGCACCACAGACTGTAAACATTTAATGCATTATGGGAAATCTTCATGAGACAAAATGGGATAGAGCTGCAGACAGCAATAACAACCCATATGTGTGTTATAAATGTGAACAACTAATGTAGCATTTCGGTGTTAGTTCTTTTGCATCTCACACACACACTGCTCATCACTCAAACGTGTCCCTGTGTGTATGATATCACAAAAAACAAATATCACACCGCCTCGCTGTGACTCTTACCCAGTGGTGGATGAAGTACCTGAAAGCAGCACTTGAGTAAAAATACAAATATCTTACCAGAAAATGATTTTGTAGACGTTAATGTCACATATTAGAATATTACTTCAGTAAAAGTCTTAAAGCAGCTGATGTTTGCTGTACTTGAGTATCAAAAATGAGTTTAAGATATAAAAGGCAATTAATTATTGAAAGAAAAAGTACATCCAAATTCTGTTAATTAAACAGCAAGTGGTCAGAATTTTGAGCATTATAAAGTTTATATCATGTACAGCACCTTAATAATGAAGTCTTTTTTGTGCATTGTGAATATTCATCTCCAATAGTCGGTTAATCGACTGATGGCAACAGAGGCTGAGCTGAAGCAGTGGCTGGCAGAGGAGCCGAACTGTAAGTCCTCCATTTACACCGTGATTGAAGCCGTAACCATAATGTAATAAAAGTATTTACAAGAGAGGTATGAATATCACAAATCAGAACCACAGTTTTATGCCACAGTTACAGTTTTATGTCATTCCACATTTCAAAAGGAGCAATTTAGCCTGGTGTGAAACTGGTGCGATGATTTCATTTCAGACTTTGAGACTTTATCAAACAGTGATTCCAGGCTTTCAAATCAAATTGAAACTGTTATATTGGCTTATGTATCTAATGTTTGATATTACAAAATTTGCATTTTAGAAATGCATTTATTTGTATTTTATTTTTACTCCATCCAGTGCTGGCAACAAATTCAGAAGTTTTACTTCAAGCTGGAAAAGAGGAGGTACTGTGTGTGTGTGTGTGTGTGTGTGTGTGTGTGTGTGTGTGTGTGTGAGAAATGCAACATTGAAGAATGTGTCTTATTGAAATTCCTTATTTAAATGCATTGCTCCAGTTATTGCAATCCATTTTGCCACTTTGTTCTCCACAGATGCTCAAGCTGTGCTCTGAACTGGAGATGGTTGTTTCTTGTCACGAAGCAAAGAGAGACAAACTGAGAGAAACTAAAGAACTGTGCGTAGCCTTTAGTCATAGTGCAGTCTCACTGTTTTTCCTCAGAGTATATACATGCTTTTCAGAAGTTTAAGGAAGATACTTTGCAGTTGTTTTGCTCTGTGTATTGCTCTGAATATTTCTGTTTCTTTAGTGAACAGAAGTGGTTGGAGGAGAAGGAACAGGTGCTGATAGCTGCCGATGACCATGTCAAACGACTTCAAATGGAAAAGGGGAAATCATCAGAGCACAGGTAAGTGTAAGGGCAAAGTCCGACTAAACCAGAGGAGCTTAAGTTCTGAGGTGCATTTCCACTGGAGGGTAGCAAAGCATGTGAACAGTACCGTGGAAAATAATGCAGTTCTACAAAAATGAATGAATGTGAATCTATTTTTATTTTGAAAAATGTACTAATCGACTAAAATGTGTTTGTGTGTTGACTTACATTCCACAGTGTATTGCTGGACACCAAAGAGAAAATCCAGAAAATGAAGGTCTACCAGGAAAGGCTGATGGAGTGTCTGGGGGATGTTCTGGAGGAGCACGTCCCTCTCGTTCAGAATGAATCCAGCACAAGCAAGAAAAAGAAGGTGCAGTGTGTTGTTTTGTGTTTGATGATCGTCTGTGATTTTGCAGCTTGTTTAGATCTGCTGTTACTGCTCCAGTCCAGCTTACCATGATTTGTTTTCATTTTCAGAACGTTACCCAGGAGTTAGATGAAGACCTGATTTCACTTAATGAAATTCTTGAGGTAGGTTTTAAGTACTACATAACAAGCTTTGATGTTCAATTGATTTCCCTAGCTTTAAGTGAAAGCAGTCAGTGTTAAAAATCATAATACAGATTTATTGCCAAGTAGGTTTTCACATACAAGGAGTTTGCTTTGGTGTTGTGGTGCACAATGGTCAAATATACACCTAAAAAAAATTAATAGCAGTTAAAGTGTACGCTATATTGAGAATATTTTCACTGCTCTACCAGTTTTAGGTTAGACAGTGATATCCGATGAGACTGAATGCATTATATGGCTTTCTTCAAAGCCAGACTCCATTGAGAAAAAAAGTGATTTAAGATTGCTGAACACAAGAGCTGCTGGCCTACTGCTGCCTCAATCAGGTATTTTTGTTGGTGTTATTACGTGACTTTGGCTTTTAAAAGGGTTAGTTCAGATTGAGTGAAGTCACACAATAACATAAACTAACTAACTTATGGAGGCAGCGATAGAATAGCAACTCCCGTGTTCAGCTAGCCAAAATGACTGTTTTTGTCTATGAAGTCTGGTGACTTTGACGAGAGCATAAATGGGGATTAACGGCGTTAACGGCTTCCCTGACGGAATAGGCTGTCAGACAGAAAGGTGAAGTGGTGAAAATATTCCTAGTATAATGTACACCTAAACTGCTATAGATTGTTTTAGGTGGCTACAATATGTTTTGTTGCTGACCCCCATCCATAGCAGCACTGCCTAGCTTTCGTGTCCCACTCCAGCCTGTATCCAGCCATCTACTGTATCTAATACAATAACTATGGATACGTACCTCATACAACCCTACTTCAAAAATTCTGAACTGTTCCTTTAACTGTATATCAGATAAGTGCAAAGTCATAAATAGTAATCCAGATTTGCAGTAATGTTATGTGTCAAGTTATGTGGAGACTTAACGCTAATGTAACATGTAATGTTCGTGGGGCTGGCTGACAGTAATATTTAGCTTTGTTAATCAACAGCAGGCGCTAGCTGTCTGTCAATAAGTACTTGTTGTAATGAGGCATTCTGACATGACATTTTGAGAAACTGAATAATAAGATAATGAATTTTCTGTCAACAATGAAACAAAATAATTATTTTTCACCCTGATACCTTAAGACTGTTTGTTTTTTTGTCAGGATAAGAGTGAATGCTGAAAAGCAAATTCACCCAAATCACAAAAACAGAAAATTCCACCACTTACACCTGGTGGACCCCCAGTTGTGCAGATAGTTTTAGTGTAATTGCTCAGGATTGCGAGCTGCTGAGACCTCTTACCACAGTACAGTTAAGATGAATGGCATGGGTTTTGTTAGGGGTGTTCCACGTTAAGAAAACAACATCAAAAACTGAGCTTTTCTGTGAGCAGAGCCTTCATGAGCAGGATTTGCAGCTACATTATAGAACTTATACTCTCTTTGGATAAAAGTGTGTATCAATAATTATCACTTGGATATGATGAATATCTTCAAGTAGTGTTCACACAACAGTTCTTGATGGTAGTGACTGTGTTGTGGGATGCATCTTCATGTCATTGAAGGATGCAGGTTCTTTATCATAGCAGACATTTTGACATAATTGATAACATTATTAACAGATGCTTATATTTAATGTCAGCCAGCAGAGCCATCATCTATGTTATTCACACCTGTTCTTGTTGTGCTAACTAGTAAATATGTCTGCTGTGGAAAATGTTCTACTGGGATGCAGAAACTGTGTTCATTCCACTGGTTTATGATGGAGATGCAGCTCCTAGACATTTGTTGTTTGTTATTGCTATAATGATAATCTTAAAAATCAAGACTGCACTATAAGTAACTGTATTTCGATGGAAGTGAATAGGTGTATCACAGTCCATTCCTCCCTCCTTTCCTTGAATCAGAGAACAGAGATGTTGTCAAGGTCAACAGCAGTCAGCTCTTCAAACTCTCAGTGCTGCACATGTATTATAGTCATGTTGTTACATACATCTTTGTCGTTGTTTCATTTTCAAACTCAGTTCTTTTTGAAAAAACTCATAGTGTCCTGGTAGCTGTGACACATACCATGTGCACAAAAACATCTGGTGTTTAACTGTGGGGCAGCACTGTTGTCACTTCATCTCTTCTAGCATCTCTCTCAAGTGTGTATTGTCAAAATAGAGACCAAAAAAACAAATCTATTGATCTGTGCCTGTGTAAACGCCTGCCTGCATACTCTAAGTTGCATCACCTTGCACCATTACTTGACCCCAGTCTCCCTTTATGTTCTGCACCCCCACAGCTGCTCATGAACCAGGTCCTGACGACCCCACATGACCCCTATGTGACACTGAACAACACATTCTGGCCACCGTACATAGAGATGCTGCTACGCTACGGCATTGCAGTGAGGCACCAAGAGAATAACTTCAAGATCCGCTTGGAAACCTTTTGTTAAGGCAATGGGTGCATTAGGCATCTCAAGCACCACTTATCTGCTAATGCTTCTAATTTGAGTCTGCCTGTATAGTGCTATCATTGTGTATATTTATGTAAGCTGATATGAGGAGTAGCTTTGCTGGGAGAGCTATGAGGGCAGTGATTTACTGTAGTGTGCATTGTAAGATAGATTTTGCCAAATCAGGCTGCACTTAAGTATTTTTTAAGAACTGTTTTGTATGTACAACATAACCATGGGTCCTTTTTAAAATGTCAACACTTCAATTTAAGTTATGAAAGTATTTAAATGTTAAGACATACATTTTGACTTTGAATGTTAACTCACATTAATACTCAGTAGGGTTAAAAGCTTTCCTACCTTCGGCTACATCAGGGGTGTCAAACTCAGTGCATCATTTTTAGGTGTGGATTGGACCCTTTTGGGGGCCGGTTCTGGCCCCTGGGATGCATGTTTGACACCCCTGAGCTACATATTTCATTTCATAGCTGTTTTCAATGGCGGACTTTAATAAGCAATGGGCGATCTATGTTTATATTTGTCTTTAAATGTGTTTTCATTTTTGTTCAGATCCCTTAAAAGATTTCTGAATATTTCACATACCCCAGCAATGTAATGTATATATGTCAGTTTGTTTATTTGTTTGTATATATTTTCTTGTTCAATAAACGTGGTAACAGCAGATGTGGTGGTGTTTTTAGAAGAAAGGAAACAATCAGTGCTCATTGATAATCTAATCATTATTCATTTAGGCAACCAGCAGGTATTTTTACAGCTACAATTATTAATAGGAGCCGGTGCGTGAAGTTTTAGTGCAGATAACGAATTTCTTATGAAAATGTAAAACTTAATTCATAAGAAACGTTTGCGTCAGGTGACGTCAGAGCTGTCGTCCAATCGGCTGCATCCGCCGCGTCAGCGTTAGAATTCCTGTGGGCGGAGAGGGGATTCCGGTTCCGGGTGTTTTCATATCTCAGTCGGAGGCGTCTATCACTCTTATTATGGTCTTTTATCAGAAATTTCTCTCGATTGTCGACTGATTGAAGTAGAGCTCTGTTTTTATTAAGGAAGTACAAGTGAAGCCGCAACAATGGCGACCCGCTCGGAGAGAGAGAAGGCCCAGAAACTCAACGAGCAGCACCAGGCCATCCTGTCCAAAATGCTGAGAGAGGAAGACAACAAGTACTGCGCCGACTGCGAGGCGAAAGGTGCGACACTCACTCTGTCGAAAATATTTCTAATTCCACTACTCAAAGTCAACACTTTCATTCAGACTCAGCCGCTAACGCTAACTAACAATGTAGCATATGCGCTGGTTAGCATTGGTAAGCTAACTCGCTAGTGTGTATAACTGGTTCAGGCTAGTCAGCTGACACCTCTTCCCCTTAAGCTAAACTAAGTGGCTAACTAGCAAGCTAACTTCTGTAAATCTGCATAAGCTCCCCACACTGCCTCTCCCTCACCGCCGCCTCCACCTCTCCTGTCGGGTTTTGCAAGTGTTTAACAAACTGTGGCAGGAACTCGACTCATATTTTCATGTTAGGTCAATGGTTAAGAATGCAGAGCTTGCTTTTGGCACTTAAAGACACTACAAGATCGTACATGTTAACATGTAATGTCAGACATCCTTCTGTATTCCAATAACAGCCTTGTTTTGTTTTTGGTTTTTTTTGCTTCATCAGGTCCAAGATGGGCATCCTGGAATCTGGGAGTATTTATCTGTATCCGGTGTGCTGGCATCCACAGGAATCTGGGAGTACACATATCCAGAGTCAAATCAGTCAACCTGGACCAATGGACCTCAGAACAAATCCAGGTACTGTTTTGTTCCTTAGGTACTCTGATGTGAGAGGATGTCCTTTATCACCCTAACACTAAATCAGGTTAAGTAATTTTGGTGAGACATTATTGCAATTCTTCTGTTGTATGGGACATAAGACGGTTGATTTCAGCATCCTTTTACATGGGCATATCTGTCCTTCACTGACACCCAGCCTTTCCATTTCAGTGTCTTAGACTTGTCATAATACAGCATAGTTCCATTACTCTTAATGATTTAGCACCTCGCCTCAATAAAATTGGCAACTTGCAAGAGACACAAACAAAATTGGCAACTTCTGTTCAGCAGAGGGTGAGAGATCCTAACTTTTAGTCTGTAATAGAGCAGGATGTTGATACTTGATACCCTTAAAGGTGTTGACCAGAAATATTCCAGTACCAAGTAACAGCGGAACTTCTCCAGTCAAACGATACCTGCATTTGATCCATTTGTACCCAGATCTAGAAAAAAATGGTTATTGTCCTATATTTTAGCTCGCAGCCAATCATTGTAAGTGTTATTCTACTTAATTCAAGGAGTGATTGCCCCCCTACTGTAGCAGCTACCACCCCTGCAGTCTGTGATGTGGTAGTCTGAGTGGGCGGAAGTTCGCTGCATAGATCAGCCTCTCATTGGGCGGAACGAGCCACTCGCTGAAGTCCCGCCCTACCACCTCCGGTTGTGTAGCAGTTTTTAACCTTTTTCAACACGTCCTTTACTAAATTTTGCTGTGTTTGATCTTGCGGGGATGTAGCCATTTTTCTGCCATGGTTCGCGTCCTGTAGGCGATATTTTTTGTGGGCATGTTACACCAAAACCTGTTTCCCCCTGGCAATATTTTTGCAAGCGCACCGTTGCTGTGGCACCGCCCAGTACGATTGTGATTGGTTGAAAGAAATACAAGCAGCCGGGGCGTTTTTTTCTCCAATCTTAAAGTGAGAGTCGGCCCAGCCAGACCTTTCTTTTCTTGAGAAAGGTCTGGTGAGCGAGACTAGTGATGTGGTGAAGCTGAGCACAGTGTATTTGTCAGTGTTGGCAGTTCAGGATGTCACCAAAACATTCGGGAATATGGCTATACTACACAACTGAGGCGTCTGGCGGCATTTTAAGATTTATTTTTGGGCATTTTTGCCTTTAATGGATAGGACAGCTTTAGCGTGAAGGGGGGAGATAAAGGGAACGACATGCAGCAAAGGGCTGCAGGTTGGAATCGAACCCGAGCCGCGGCAGCTAGGACTGAGCCTTTATATATGGGGCACCTGCTCTAACCGCTAAGCCACCGTCATCCCATCTGGTGGCATATTAAGCAAGTGAATACTTCTATTCACATGATGGGTATTGAATAAAGTAGATATAAAGGTATCATAAGAAGCATTCAGTTGGTATTGTCATCGCTTACAGGTATTGGTGCTGGAATTGTAATTTTTTAATACTCAGTCCTGTTCCCTGGTGTGGGTCAGGTTTCAAACATACTGGCTGCTACACTTCCCATAATGCAAATTGATAGGGTTTGTGAGCATGCCTCCTTCATGTCATTTTGAAATTACCATAATAAACAGTTTTTAACTTGCAAATTACTGTTAACGTGAACATTCAAGTCATCATCTCAACTGGAAAACACTTTTTGGAAAGCTCCAATATATAGGACCTGGCATTGTTTAATTCAAATGTGCCTAAAAAAGTTAAATACATATGGTGCATTATTGTGTTGCACAGGCTTGGTATTAAAAGATTAATCTCTTAAGGGTTTTTTTCTCATATGTGAGAAAAGCTCCACTTGCACCACAGGCGACATTATACCACTGTTTTCACAGGCTGAGTCGTACTAATTGTACTAACTAATTGTCATTTAAATTCAGTAGAGTGTCCCTTGACATATTTCAGCATGCCTCAGTTTTCTGTTTACCCCTCCATCCTTTCTTGTTTCAGAGTATACAGGATATGGGTAACACCAAGGCCAGGCAGCTTTATGAGGCCAACCTTCCAGAAAGCTTCAGAAGACCTCAAACAGACCAGTATCCTTCACTGTCAGCAGACACGCTCGAAAGAACTTCAACAAACCATACTGTTTATACTAAAGTGTGTCATTTCATGGCTTGTTTTCTGCCTGTTGTTCTCTTAACTTTGACCTAAGAGCTGTGGAATTCTTCATCAGGGATAAATATGAGAAGAAGAAATACTACAGTAAGAATGTGACCAATGGGAGCAGTGTATGTATCAGTTTTAAAACAACGTGTAGCTCTTATTTAAATGCTTTCAAAGGCAGTGTGCACATTTTTACACTAGTAGTTGAAGCTGGCATTAGTTTTTCTGTCGTTCATTTTGAGTCCTTGTTTTGTTTTTCAGCCAAAGGATGCTAAGAAAGAGAGGGAGCCAGACAGAGGGAGCAAGGTGTCATCCTACACCAAGGTGAGTATCTCACACACATTCCTTCATGAGTAGAGCTGTTAAAACACGGCCTGCTCCTCAGCATTGTTTTTGTGCTGTATGGATTTTACCCTACTTATTGTACTCATGCGTTGTTTTAAAGAGTGAAGAGCCCAGGCCGGTTCCCAAAATCAGCCCCGCTAAGACTTCAGAGCCCTCTGTGAACCTTCTAGGCCTTGGTGAGTATCTCTGCAGGTCTTGTGTTACTGGAAACTGAAAATCGTCTGAAATGTGCCTCATGAATGTGCTGTCTGAGATATTTATGGAATCGGGCTAAATAAGGCTTCAGCTTGTAATTGCTATCTTTTTATTGCCAGTTGTGGAGATCTAATAAGTGATCGGATGGCTATAAACTCATTGAGCCTGGAGTTTGAACGTTTAATGGGCTTGGTGCTGTGTAATTTCAGAATACTGATATTCACACTGATGTTTAGTATTTATTTATTTTTACTGTAGATATGATGAGCACAGGTTGCTTGTAACTCTTGCTTGGTGCTATGTGTATGCTGTGGCATGTTCTTTAGTGCGTCTGCACTGGACTAAGACGTTTTGGTGCCATACGGTGCAGGGCCAAACCATGACTGTCTCTGTCTTAATCTTGTGTCACTGTAAACTTGTTGGCTTGATGTGCAACAATCAAGCTGTGGGCTTTGGAGAAAGTGCTTTCTTTTAAAGACTCACTGTGTTCCTCTTTCAGTAAGTTTCTAGCAGCTGTGTAACACGAGTCACTGTGACTGTACGTTTCTGCAGACTAACCAATCTCCGATCTGCGTTGCTGTCTGTATCAGAACTATAATGAAAGTCTGTTGTTCTTTTAAGTTGCTGTCAGTGCAAACTACAAAATTCTCCTGCTGCTCTACAATAAATTACCAGTGAACATCTGCAACGCTTTTTTGTAAGTTAGTCAGAGGAAGTGCTAAAGCTGCTGACTCAGTCACTGAGGTTTGCAGCTGACTAGTAACTTCTTGTTTTTTTACATCCACATTTGGACCTTTGTCTTTGGAGGAACAGTCTTAAATATTACAAGAGACAAACCGTATAATAATATGCAGTGAACTGGCTGACAATTTTACACAAAAAAGGATGCAACTGGTCACAGCTGCTCATGTCACACGTCTGCCAACCATATGGAAAAGGTTTTCCTCATGTGTCCATTGCTTAATCACTTAATGGCAGTTAAGTGGATATTTCTGTGTGGATGTATAGTGCTTCTGATTAAGGCCCTGTCTACACATAAACAGATATTTTTTAAAACATTATTTTCCCCCTTTGTTTGAAAAAAACACAACCTTTTTTACAAAACACAGAAATGCCCTTAAAGCTTGCCGGCCTTAGCTGTCGTCAGCACTCTCCTCTTATTGCAAAGACAGCAAAGTGCGCAAGCTAACGCTACCTTTTTCCAAACCACCACTGATTCCCTGTTAATATAA